CCCACAGCGTCAGGCAATCCACTCACCTCAGCCTCCCAAAGCGCGGGATTACAGGCTGAGCCACTGAGCCCGGCTACAAAAGGAATCTTTTAAGAAAACTTTTAAGTAAAGTTAATGGGAAAAAAATAAAGCAATCCAAGCTAGGAGTGGACATAGAGTCACCTAGGATAAAGGATCCTTGACAAAATGACAGAGGTGACTAAGTCTGTCTCTGCCCCTTTCCCTTCCATCCCAGTCCCCTCCTTCCAGCTGTCATGTCCCTTAATCCTTGCAGCTACACTGTGAGACAAGCACAACTATTTCCATGACAGTTATACAGATCAGGAAACCGAGGTCCAGAAATCTCCAGTAAGTTGGCCAAACTACCCAAGAGGCTGCAGAGAATGGAAATAAATAAAGAAATAAAACAATAGCTGGCAAAAACCGCTCAAATCAAAGAACATTTTCTAAATGGATTTGTAATTTTTTTTTTTTGAGTCAAGATCTCACTCTGTCACCCAGGTTAGAGTGCAGTGACATGATTCACTGGTCACTGCTGCCTTGGCCTCTTGGGCTTAAGTAATCCTTTTGCCTCAGCCTCCCAGGTAGCTGGGACTACAGGCGCACGCCACCAGGACTAGCGAATTTTTTTGATTTTCTGTAGAGACGGGGTCTTGCTGTGTTGCCCAAGCTGGTCTCCAACTCCTGGGCTCAATCCTTCTGCTTCGGCCTTCCAAAGTAACTGGATTGCAGGCATGAGCCATTGTGCCTGGCCTGGATTTGTACTTATTTTGGTTGTAGATCACCTCAATTAGCTTCTGCAGAAAAACCTATTACAGCCTTATTTCACTTGTCACTTGAAGTAGGTGATTTCATTTAATGTGGGATATTAGAGAAAATTCTAGATATGTGACTTTCAACATATTAGGGTCAGATCGACTGTTTTGAATTCTTCTGATTCAGCAAAGCCCCCTTAGCCATATTGCAGTACATTTTTGTTCTTTTTTTTTTTTTGAGTTGGAGTCTCACTCTGTCGCCCAGACTGGAGTGCAGTGGCCGCTCCCGGCCACCGCAGCCTCGACCTGCTGGGCTCCAGTGATCCTGCCGCCTCAACCTTCCGAGTAGCTGGAATTACAGGCATGCGCTACCATGCCTGGCTGATTTTTTGATTTCTTGTAGAGATGAGGTCTCTTCAAGTTGCCCAGGTGGGTCTCGAACCCGCGGGCTCAGGCAATCCACTCACCTCAGCCTCCCAAAGGCATGGGATTACAGGCTGAGCCACCGAGCCCGGCTCATTTTTGTTCTTAAACGCATAGGAATTTATTTTTATTAGTCACTCCAAACATATAAATACTGAGGTGCTTGTACCTACGCAATACCAAGTGACTTAAAAATTAAAAGACTAAAAGAAACAAGGACTTTTACTTTTTTACTTTATATCTTTCTGAATTATTAGACATTTTTGACAACAATAATTGCATAGACAATGAAATCTTTTAATTATAAAATTATAGGGGAAAAAAGGACGGTATAAAATGCAAAGTACCTGTTATTATCAACGACATTTTGTTTTTTACAGAACCGCCAGAGAAATCAGAAAGAAGATTTCAAAAAACATGATGTGATGTCTCCTGCTGGAGACAGGGCATGAGGTGAGTGAAAATGGCAAAGAATTTGTTTCTAGTAAGAACTCAATACACTGAAGGCTTAGTTTAAACCACTGGTCGTTCTTGAAGCAGGAGTGTTATAAATTTCTTTGTAGAATTTATGTAACTCTTCTTTGTTTAAAAACCATCAAATAAACAAAGTATGGGATTACTTTATTGGTTAGCAGTTAGGGCTTATAGCCACCTTATAAACCAGCCATGTTATATCAGACTTTACTGCATATGTGAATGATTATGCATTGTATCAAGACAAGAATGAACTATGTTTTAATTGAGCTTTATTTTGGATGTCTTTGGGGCTTGGGAAAAAAAAAAAAACCTTAAGAAAGACAACATTTGCTTTATATTGAACTAATATATTCTGAGTCCCTACTTTATTTGGGCTTTAACACCTAATAACCATGTGGGGTAGGTAAATATTATGCCCACTTTACAGTTGAAGAAATATAGGCTTAGGAAGATTCAGTAACTTTCTCAGGTCTTAAAACAAAATAAGTAGCAGAGCTGGGATTTGAAACTAGATGTCTGGCACACTTAAGAAAAAAAAGTCCCATAACTTAAAACATTATTTAAAAATTCAAAACTAGGCTGGGCTCGGTAGCTCAGCCTGTAATCCCAGTGCTTTGGGAGGCCGAGGTGAGTGGATTGCCTGAGCCTGCGGGTTC